ACTGCAAAATGAGAATAACATATGTTAATTTTTGTTAAAACTTCCAAGTTTAACATTTTGTTGCCTTTAGTTTGTAACTTAGTCAATTATAGCTAAGGGAAAACGGGGGAATTGCGCGCAGTGGGCAAATCCGCGCAAGTAAACTAGTAAATTGTTACATATTATGATAAACTGTGCAAGCCCATCTCTACTAAGCATTACTTCCCACTGTCGTCGTGTGGCCGAGACAGTGATTTGTGTCTCGGGCCTCGGGCGGGACAGTCAGTGCGGAACCACGACTAGAAGAGTTTATAGCCGGTGCCGATGTATCTGTTATAATCAGTGAAGATTAATTTTCCAGACTGCTCTTATGTTTCTAAGACTGCTTAGTTCTAAAATCGACTTATATACGTATATTATTCGGTTGTATTTTATTTTGTACATTTTTTTTTTAAATAAAGTCAACTATGACTGTGAAATTTGCGAATATTTAACATCGCGCCCGGTTACTCTATTTATACCCAAATCTTACAATCATCTCCCTAATTTTAAAAAAGTTAATTCGGATATAATATTTCTTATACTTCTTTAACCTTTAAGTATATTCATGAATTAATAATAATTTATTCATTCACAATATTCAAAACTTTGGACAAAAACTGAATCTTGTTTAATTTGCCAAAAATTCTAAACATTGTTGAATTTTAAGCTTGTCCAAAATAGTTCAATTCTAAACTGTTCAATATCAATGTTAGTTTTCGTTCGAGACGTCGAAATATTCAAAACATCGAACGCGTATTCAAAACTCAGGTTGACATCGGCTATAAACGTTTATAGCGTTTATATAAACTCGTGTCTCCGTATTGGCTGTCCCGAGACGCAAGTCAAGGCAGTGCGCACAAAATTTAGTATGTTATGAACTTGCAAAGAGTGAGGTGTTCTTTCATAGATAAACGTGCAACTGCAAGTATTCGACGTAAGTTACGAATTTTAATGTTAATATAGTACGGTATTTTCTCTAAAAAATACATAGTTTTTTATAATTTACATGTAATTTCCATTGGTGTACCTTCAATAAACATCAAGTATTTAATTTGGAACGACACAAATACATTTTGGGTAATTCCGCGCAATCGGAGTGGGGTAATTTAACGCAGCACGGATTTACCCCATATGAAATGTAATAAAATTTCATATGTCAAGAACTTACCATAAAAGAGGCAATGAAGACCATCAAGTAATAACTGAAATAGAAGCCGCGCGATCTGGACGAAAACAGGAAGCAGAATTGTCAGAGTACATTTTAAAATTATCAAAAATCTTTTTTGGTTTATCTCCAGGTGAACTTCGGAGACTTGTGTTCACCTACGCCGAGAAAAATAATATAAAACATGTTTTTAATATAGAAAAAAAAACGATAGGAATAGATTGGTTAGCACTATTCACGAACCGAAATCCACAGATCAGGTTATGCCAGCCTGAAGCTACAAGTCTGAATATAATTTCCACATTCAACTCGATACAAGTAAAATTGTTTTTTAATATTGTTGAAACTAATCAATAAATATAAATTTATTCAAGACCGTATTTATAATACTGATGAGACTGGTATTACCATTGTCCCAAAAAGCCAGTAAAGATGTGAGGAAAAGGCAGAAAAAGAGTAGGTGCAGTGAGTTCTTGAGAAAGAGGTAAAACGGTCACTATTCGTTGTGTATTCAGTGCTTCAGAGTCTTATGTACCACCAATGTTCATTTTCCCAAGGAAAAGAATGACTGAAGAACTTACAATGTGGCCCAGCAGGTGCTTTCTATAGATGTTCAGATAATGGCTGAATAAATGAAACGTTATTTACGGAGTGGCTAAACATTTTCAACACCATGCAAAGCCATCCAAAGAAGAACCGGTACTCTTAATTCTAGACAATCATTCCAGCTATATATCATTAGCATAAGATGATTTGTGCAAAAACAATGGCATTTTATGCTCCCCTAAAAAAAGTCAAGGTATAACACATCCGTTTAAAAAAATAACTCACTATAAATTAGCTGAAATATTTAACTTAGCTTATTTAACCACACTGGATAAAGTCATATCTGATTTTAAAGTTGCGGGAATTTTTCCGTTGGATTCAGATAAGTCCCATGATGAATTAGATAAATCAAATAAAGAATTTGATCCGATTTCATCAGAGGAAATGTTCAACCGCATATAATCGATAACGAAGATGAAGACGTCAGTGGGTTTCCAGCGGGTTCTTGTCCATCTCATATTCATTCTCAATCATTATCTAATGGTTTTTCCCAACCAATGCCCAAATTCCTAAACAATCTCATATTTGTTCAGCATAATTTCTCAATAACGCAGTCATCTCAGTTAATAAGAAAAAAGAAATAAGAAAATGATATCCAAACAAAAGAAAAATTGCGGCAAGATAAAATCCAAAAATGTTTTAAAAATGAAAATATAAAAAGTAAGGGAACCCCAAAAACAAAAAAAAAATTAAACATATGAGAAGTAAAATTTAACGACAGGTCAACTACGAAAGAATCATTGAATGAAAAACAAATTTGCGACAATGATATAGATGTCAATTCTACGGAAAACATTTGTGTTATATGCAGGGAATTTGGTAAAGATAATGAACTATGGTACAGCTGCACACTGTGGGATGGGCACACACATACTGCTCCGATGTAAATAAGCCTAAAGATTATATTTGTGACAATTTAAAAAATTAATTTCTGCTTTGTTTAAACAAGATTTAATAAAAAAAAAATTAACTTTTGTAGTGATTTTAATTTCGCGCGGAGTTATCCCCAACAGGCATGGATTTATCCACTGCATGGAGTAATTCCGTGAAATGGCAGGATTTAAAAATCATTCATTACATTCATATTATGCATTACATTCCTTTACCCATAAAATCATCAGAAAATTCCTTTGTTACATATCCATTATATTTACCAATTCAATAAAAATTATAAACTTGGCAATAACAAAAGATGAATATGTACTTTTAATCAGAAGACCTTCACAATTCCATGAGTATTAAAATATTCGACAACGCCAGTTAGGACTTAGGGATAAAATAGATTCTCGTCTATTGGTATCAATGTTGAAATGTTAAGTTTTAACTTTGTAATAACCTGTTTGGGTCTCTTAAATGAGACATGGGACAGAAGGTGCAGAGAGATAGAATCTTATATTGGAGGACGACAATGCACTGAGGCGTGGAAGTTTATAAACTCTGTTAAGAAGCCGACTAACGAGAAAGTGATTCTAAATCCCATAAATCCCGAGGATTGGACACATTATTACAAACATCTATTAAATGAGAACAGAGACGAATTTAAAGAAGATATGAATTCATCAAGAATCGAAATTCTGGGAGAGCATATTACCATAGATATCAACACAGTTCAAAAAGCTATAGCAGGGATGAAGAATGGGAAAGCAAGTGGACCAGAGGGAGTAACTACGGAATTAATAAAGAATGGCTCAGAGAAATTACACAGAATGATCACGGTGATATTTAACGAATATATTAATGGACATCCAACACCAGATGAATGGAAAACAGCATATATGACCCCAATATATAAAAAAGGTGACAGGAGAAATTGTAAAAACTATAGAGGGATATCGGTCACAAGTTCAATGAGTCGACTATACGGTCGAATACTACGGGACCTGATAGAGGAAGATTATCAATCGTCTGAAGACGAAGAACAAGGAGGATTTAGAGCAGGTCGTTCATGTACAGATAACATCTTCTGTCTTAAACAAATTATAGAAAAGAAAGTTGTGACAAATAGAGAGTTACATATGACTTTTGTAGATTTTGAGAAGGCATATGACACAGTCCCGCTAAATAAACTATGGGAAGTCCTAGGCACATCAAATATACATCAAACATTGGTTAGTGCTCTCAAAGATCTATATTATGGTTCAAACTCCCAAATGAAATTCGGAAATCTCTTAGCTGAAAAATTTGCAGTTACTAAGGGTCTCAGACAAGGATGTTGTATCTCTCCGACTCTGTTTAAGATTTATATCTCTGCAGCTCTGAAACAATGGAAAAGGAAAGTCAAAGGAATGGGTATACAATTGAACGATCAGGATTACATATTTACAGTTTGCAGATGATCAGGTGGTGATCTCAAATGACAAAGACGACATGGAATACATGCTTAGAAAACTAATTGAAGAATACCAGAAATGGGGATTAAATATCAATTTAGAAAAGACAAAATACCTCTCAATTGGAGCTGAAGCAGAACATCTCGATATCGATGACAATCAAAAAGTAAATCCATGTGACGAATATAAATACCTGGGCGTCATCTTCGACCGTAGTGGAAAAGACGAACGAGAAATAGAACATCGAATTGTACAAGCACGAAGAGCTATAGCATGTTTGAACGGAGTTCTATGGAGTAAAGAAATATCAAAGAAAAGAAAATGGAACATCTATGAGACAATGGTTAAAACTAGCCTACTTTATGGAGCTGAGACATGGAGAATAACCGAGAAATATAAGAAAAAGGTCGAAGCCACGGAAATGGATGCCATCAGAAGATCGATGAGAATATCAAGAGCCGACAGAATACGGAATGAAGTGATAAAACAACAAATGGGTATAGAGGGCACTATAGTTGAGGATATTGAGAGAAAACAGCTCATATGGTATGGACATGTGAGCCGAATGGGGGACGAAAGATTGCCTAAAAAAACGATGATGTGGCAACCCCCAGAGAAGAGGAAACGAGGAAGACCACCACAGAGCTGGAACCTGGGAGTTAGGAAAGCGATTAGCGCTCGAAATCTGGACGAAGACCTAACTCAAGATCGAATACAGTGGCGGTTGGGAGTCGGACAACGTCGTAAGACGTTATAAAACCGAATGTATATAATAACCTGTTTAAAAATATTAAAACCGATTTTCTTCAGCATCTTTTGTAAATTAACTATTAATGTTTGAGATTTATTATTTAATAAAACATATATTGTCTTTTAAACTTTTATCATCTTATTCTTTCGAATCACTTTCTTCATTAATTATTGTAGAATTCAAATTTTTAAATAACAGCTAAAACCAAGCTATCTTTTAAATTATCATAAAACGTAATGAACTACCAAAATATAATGTCACAGGAGAATACATTTTTCTGAAAAAACAAAACATTTGTAAAATCAGTCACAAAATTTATAAAAACAAATTTATGTAATATATTTTATGAATATATGTAAGATTAATGTATCAAAGATAACAAAGCAGTTCCAGCTATTATCTAAAATTTGAATATTAACAAATAATTTAGTATTACAAATAAAACAGTACATTTTAGTTTAATTGTACAAAATGACTTCATTGGGACAACAAAATTATTCTTATAATACATAGCCACCCTTAAGTTCTACAGATATAAAGCATCAGTCTATTCTAACTAATATTATTAAATTTTGAAGGTTGAACTATGGAAGTTTTTCTTATAGGAACTGTTTCAGGAGTGGGGATGGCATCACCTGTGCCTACAAATGGTATAGGGCCTGGCAACTGGAGTCCTGCTTTGTTAGAAATATTGCCAAACTTTTGTTTAGCCATTTGATAATCTCCAGAATCAAAAAATTTCTGTCCCTTTGACAGCCGCTTTTGTAAAAAAGCAGAGTGCCCACTTGCTTTTAAACCTGGTCCTCCACCTGAAGGAATGTTGAATTTGGCTTTAAGTTTAGCCTCCTCTTGTTTCTCTAATTCTTGGGGAGTTAATTGATTGGATTGGGTCGATTCAACAGGGGACTGCTCTTGGTCACTCATTGTCCCTAATTTACACTAAAAACAGACATTTAATTAATGCAAAAATATAACAGTATTATGCTGTTCAATAAGTTTTGTGGTTTAATAAGAGAGGGTGTTGCTACTAGCCTAAATTTTTTTTGTTGTGTTGTTACACTCTTCATATTAACATATGTGAAGATTCATTTCAATCTGTCAATTCACTTTGCTTACAAGCCATTTAGTATCAGTGTGTCACAGTGTTTTTTTACAATGGAAAAATTAAGCATCACACAATGATGGAATTTTTATTTTTAGAAAGTTGAAAAGCAAAGGAAAATGAATGAATGTTGAAAGTGGATAAGGACTCTTTGCCTTTAATTAGTACAATAAAAAGATAGGTTGCTGAATTTAAAAGTAGTTGTACAATCCTTTAATACAATCCACATCAAGGATGTCCAAAAACAGCAACATCATAAATTGTAGATAAAATTTGGGATATAAAGGTGCTAGTTAATATATAATTTCACTGAAAAAAGGATTTAAATTATTTGCAGACTATGCCTGAGCAATGATAGGTTTAAGATAAAGTTTATCTAGTAAAATCAAGGACAAGAATCTGTGATAGTTGAACATTCGTATCATTCAGGGATAGGTATACAGATCATAAACTACTTTAAGAGCAGCACTTTAAACAGTGGCTTATTTCCTTTACTCTGCAAAAAATCGCAATTCTTATCAGAGCTTAAGAACCACACAGAACTTCGCTGTCACCCCCTTTCCTGACTTTAAGGAAAAATGATATATAGCAAATGTTCCAAAACGAACAATTCCAATATAGGTTGACCTATTTGACTCATATCTTCTCAAGTCCTTGAATCAGCTTAACTTTAAATAAATCTCCAACATTGGAATCACAAGGTGTCTGCAGAAAATGTATTAACGTTTTCTCAGACATATGAAGCAATTATAAATCAAAAATGGATGATGAATTGAAAGCTGAAATACTAAAGCATTTGCAAGTATTGAAAGACAAATACCATCAGAGTTACTAATATGGCAGTATATCTGAGTTACCAATATCCAATACCAACAGAAAATCAGTTGAGTTAATGGAGACTATGACAGTGAAAGTAACCAAAATAACAAACAAGGATGTTGGTCAAGCACCTCAAAAAATAAAGAAAGGTAAAGCAGTTGTACCATAATTCCTGGGGAAGTGTGGACAGCTTTAGTAGGGATGTAAACAAGTTGGCTAACAGGTTTATTTAATAGATTTATGAAAGAGGGAAAATTGCCAGGCAGATGGTAGGTGTGAAAGTCTGATAAATTTCTTATAAAAATAGGATTGCACCAAGACACAGTACATAGTCCTTATTTATTCTCATATCTCAGATAACATTCCCTTGTACTTATTAATATATGCTGATGATGTAGTATTATTAGGAAATACTGAAAGTGATTTAGAACAAAAACTGGAACAGTGGAAACAAGCTCTTGAGGATTATTAAAACTATTAAAACTTATTATTAAAATTAAAAAACTATTTTATTAAAAAATAAAATTAGTAAGACTATTAAAACTTAGTAGGACCAAAACAGTATTTGGAATGTTCATTCAAAGATGAGTTACTAAAAATAGAATAATAACTTTGGATGGTGAAATTATTGTGAAAAGTAATAATCTTAAGTACCTTGATCAGTATTACAGAGTAAACAGGCGATAGATGGGCATGCAGTAGAGATATGGTTGGATGGAGGTAATGGAAGGAAACAGGTGGTGAGTTATGTTACATAAAAATTCTATAAAATGGCCATAAGACTAGCTATGATGTAAAGAACTGAATGCTGGTTAAAGCAAAAATGAGTTTGCCTAAATAGTGATGTGACAAAAAAGGATCAAATTAAGAATGAGTCAACTCTATCTTGAAATTAACAAAGTTGGTACAAGACAATCTAATATTAGCAAAAAATCACTGGGAACTGTTGTCCACTTCAGGAGTTTACTGCTTTCCTTGTAGTTGTGGTAGCAGTATACAATTTAACAAGAAAACAATGAAAATAATCACTTGATTTAATACAAGAAGGTTGCCTTGCCCACTGGAAAAGTCTAGTCTTCGCAGAGCTCACCATCATACAAGAGAACTACCAAAATTTTAATCAAAGTAACACAAGTGGCTTTTTTCAGAAACTGTCTGTTATAAACCAGTCACACTTATATCCAATTAGCTTATTGTACATCTTCAATTTATTCATGACAGACTTTTCCTGAATTCTGGAACCCTGTACCAGGTTGTACAAGTTTAGTAGATGGCTACTATATGTTCTTGGGAGCCACTTGAAAGTCTCCAAAATGTGTAAACTGCTTGTGATCTAGTTCCTCAGTCATGCAAGATGTGGTTAAATGTTTCAGGTTCTTTAGTACAGGGTTTGCAACTTAAGCTTAATTTCTGCTTGTTTTCTACAGTTCTTCAGCCCTATTAGCACATATTCATCCAATATATATTTTATCCTGTGCTTAACTGTGCATACTTCTACAGTAAATGTTATATTGTGTTTAGATCCAGGCTTTTTCAGATTGCAGATGGTGCTTTTTGGTACTCCTGCAGCTGGCACTATTCCCACATGTGTCTAAACTGCATCTAACAGCTTCTAAGAGTCTCCATGGCCGCTCTATGATTGCATAAATTTGCCTGAAATACTGAGGAAAAGACATCTGGTTAGGAAAACATCTTACTACAATCCATGAATGTTCAGAAAGACTATCAAACATCTGATTAACTTTAATTGTAAAGTTGATTATATCTAAAAATCAAGCGGATTTAACAGCTAAGAGAAACAAAAACTCTCACTTGCCACACTACAAATTTCAATACTGATCAGGACCAATTAATAAACCTCTAAAAGAACTCAAATACTGTATATAGTGCAAATATTCAAGAAAATACTTCCCAGTTGGGGCATGACACAAAACAAAGTTCTGTCTAGCACAATATAATGTTGTTGTGCTTACAACAAAGGAGAAGACTAGTACAGGGTCACATGTGCATATAATATTTTTTGTGGATATGTTGCAAGTGATTAGATTATTTAGATTAATCCAATATAAGCAAATAACAATGAAATCCTAATTAAGACAGAGATGTGCCTTGTACACAATTTCAATTTTCAATATTTTGCAGTTTTTACAAATTCCATACTTAATACTGTTTCAATCTAGATTAGAATTGTACGCTGAAAGCTGAAATATTGTATACCAGAGGACACAGCATAAAATTTCCTATAAATCCCAAATAGATTCAGGTTTTTGATAAAAAATGGGTCATTTGATGATAAGAGAAGACAAAAATTTCTGGCATTTTTGTGATAATGAGTAAAGTCAAGATAAATATAATATATAACAATATAAATATAATTATAACAATGTCAAGACCAACCTACTGTCTAAATCAACAATTTAAAATTACTTTTACTTTTTCTACAGAAACAACAGCCTGACTAGTGACCACATGTTTCTAAATTATACAACATACAGAGATATATACAACAAAATTTGCAAAAAACTTATTTACATAGTAATGCATTTTAATTTTATATATTTTGAATTTAAAAATTAACAAATTGGTAAGGGCAATTATTTATTGGACTAGTAATTCAAGTTTGAACAAGTTTGACAGGTGATAAAGGACAATAATTTCATACTTCATTTTTTTTATTACTCCACCCTTTAAATACTACCCCTATAATTGTTTAAATGTAAAAAGATCAACTGTTTTTTATTTTCAAATGAGAAAGTTAATTATCATAAAGATAATTGAAAAACAATAGTTGTTACTTGTAAGACATTTTGTTCATGATATTTAAACGATAGGTTATTTATATATGTACTTACTGCACTTTTCTATTCTAATAATAATAACTTAAGAAAATCTCTTGCAACTGATAAAGGAGTTAGAAAAAATCTTTAAAATTTGGTAAACCAACTAACCAACCTTCACTATTATTGGTGGGTTGTTTATAACGTCAAATGTCAAAACCAAAACCGTCTATTTTAAAAACATTGATTTAACAAACAGTTTTGTAAAAATTATTCAAAAAATTACTAAAAATATGTTTTATTTAATGTTAATTTAATAGGTAGAATAGGCCTTCACTTCTTTTTAAAGAGACGATGTGAATATTCTATTATTGTTGGCTAAAGATTCTGACTAAATTAAAGTATTAGATGAAAATTATGTTTTGTCATTTTAGGAAAAATTGGTTGTTCGTTAATATTATATTATATTATAATGCTATTTTCTCATTAGAAATCATTATTATCCTTAGCGTAAGTCAAGAAGTTCATAAAATTTTATCCAAAGAAAATTCAAAGTTTAGATCAAATAACGAATCAAAATGTAATAGTTTATAAAACAAAAAAGATGTTACAGTAGGCAGTACAGTAGCACAGAATAATAAACAATCAGAATGCCCACTCTGCTTGAAAAAATAAGTATGCGCATCTCGTTCGCGCAGACGGAATCAGCCATGTTTTAGACGGAACCAGTGCTGTTCAGTGACAATTTATCATCTAGTATGCATAGATCCCTACATGAAGCCGTCCATATGGCACAAGATCGCAGTCAATGGAGACAGCAGACTAATAATATTTAGGGTGTCACTACGCCCTGACAAGGGCTAAAGGATTGAGGAGGAGGATGCATAGAAAAATTAACCCGGTTTAATTTATTTATGGCAACTATAGGCATAATATGCATTATTTTATTCGTACTTTTAGTTGAAGAATAGATTAAATTATTTCCAATGTACTAAATTATTAATTTAAAACTCTAAAAATTTAAATTACAGTTCTGTCGTAGCTTGTCACAAATTTCACAATTCGCATCTATGTTTCCGTCTAAAACATGGCGTTCGCGTGCTTACAAACTTCAAAGGCGGCATCTGAGAGTGGGTATTCTGATTGTTATTTATTCTGTGATATTACATTTAAATAATTTATTGAATTTTTAAGTTCGAATCCAACGCCACCTGTTAACGTATTAACGAATCATACGTTGATTACTTCTGACGTTCTGACTGACCTGTGTGTCAAATTCAAACGAAATATGAAATTAAAATATAAATAAATATCATTTGAAAGTAAATTTAATAATTATATGACAAACTAAATAATATCTTTAAAAATAATAACTGTATTTATATGAAATTATTTTAAATCAAGAAGTGTGTTTAAAATTTAAACAGATGATTCAATTTTGTTTTTAATCGGATGGCATTTATGACTTTAAAATTTTGACAATGGTTGCGCATCGAATCTTTTATTGGCAAATATTCTTTTAATTTTTTGCTTCTCATTTACTAATGTCTGTAGTTATTTTTCATAAAGTTTTTAATTTAAACTTGCTTAGAATAAATGTATCAAGACTAGAAACGAATTGATCGAGATTGTAATATAGTGAATAATATGAAGATTACCCGTGACGAAGCCGTCTTGTGGCGCTAGTTCCATGACACTCGTCTCAGCATTTCACGAGAAAAAAGTAATACGACGCCAGTATAGAAACTTCGCTTCAAAAATAAGTTATGTTGTTAAATACTTTGAGAATAATTTCATTAAAATCTAATGCAAATAATTATACATCTACGGGAAACAAATTAGTAACCATTAATTTAAAATTAATATCAAATATGAATAGAAATAATGGAAATTGTAATTGAAGTCTAATAGCGAATGATGTATAAAATATGCCTGTATAACATATCTCTATCAAAATATTATTTTAATTTTGTTATCGTAAGCTTTAATTTGTGACAATATCTATTAATATCTGCTATAAATTTTATTATATTATTTCATTAAAAATCTCTTTAATTTATAATAAGAATTGCGTAATAGCGGTATCAGAAGACAATCAATACGTGACGTAAATTATTGATAACTAGTATAGTAACTAATGTAGAATATAGAAGGATTCATTACGAAATATGAAATTGAAATTATTATGTAGCGCTTGTTTTATAAAAGTTAAATATATGTATTATAGTGATTAGTGATATTCTTGTAAAACACATTTGTGAAAAATTGTATTGTGATATTTTGACATTGACGTTCTTTAAAATTTTCTTTTCTGACAACTCAATAAATAGGACTTATGAAGATTATTAATTAAATTATTCTTTAAGAAATAGTAGTAAAGGTATGCTGATAATACCGGTTTATATTTAGAAATTCTTAAGTTCCAATAAGTTAATATTTGTGGATTGAATAGAATGCAATATGTCAATATATACGTCATTTTTGTTGTTTTAACACGTGCCAGAAGTATTTAAACAATTTTTATATTTTTATTTATGCAATAGATTTCGATAATATAAAAAAAATCATTACTTAATCATAGTGAAGTGTAATTTAGATGTAAAATAGAGGAGCATCAACGTTAAAACTTAAGTATCTACCTTTATTTTTGTATTTTAGGCTGTAATTATAGCTATGCACAATTTAAACCCAGACGGTCCTTATGTCAATGTAAATGGAGCCACTAATACGGAAAAAGTGTGTATTCTAGATGCTGGGGCACAGTATGGTAAAGTTATTGATAGAAAAGTTAGAGAATTATGTGTGGAGTCTCAGATCATACCCTTGGATACCCCAGCCTTCAACATAAAAGAAGCTGGTTACAAAGCTATCATTATTTCTGGAGGACCCAATTCTGTGTATGCTGAAGATGCTCCTAGATATGATGCAGATATCTTCAGAATAGGTTTACCTGTGCTGGGTGAGTAAGGTTTATTATATGTATATGGTATGAGGTGTATATTTTAAGATTCAATATATAAATGAATGTTAATCTTCTGGTTTATACAAGTTATCTCAGAACTAAAGCACCTGTTTTGAAATTTGACTGAGGCGTTATTCAGGAGAGATATTTGTTTACTATTAATGAAAAGTAAAGATTGGAAGATATTTTGATTTTTTTTATCTAGTTTTTATTCAATATGTATCCAATAATAAGGATTATCCTATTTTTTGCATGTTGATCCAAAAACAAGACAGATTAACTATACATTATTAAAAACAGGAACAATTAAAACAAAAAATCCATTGATCTACCTATACTAATTGTAGCTGAAGGAATTCTCCATATTGTTACTGCATTAAATCATTAAGTTATTTTAATACTTTCAAAGGATTTCACTTGAAAATCAAACCAATGATTTTCACTGCTGCTTCAATATTTTCCTTTATTCTGGTTAACTAGGAGTCTATATCTGTCTCTTATCTATATCTTCATTTACATTTATGCTGCCAAATGAATATTATTTACTGCTTCTTTAATATTCTTCTTATACATTTCCTACTGTTCACTAGTTAGTGTTAGATCTGCATTTATTATGTTTTTAGTTCCAATTCTGTTTTGAAAATTTTGTAGCGTTTGTGGATTTTTTATGAATTTAACATTGTGGCAGGTGATTTGGAGGATCTCCTTTTTAAAATATAGTTAACCAGATCCTATTACATTCTACTAAGAAATTTGCTATGCACTTTGTTTGATTTACTCAAATGGAAGCAGCCTCTTTGACTTTTATTATTTTTATATTAAACAAGTATTTTCTTTAGAACAAATCATTTTGGTCTTATCATACAATAATTTAATGATCCCCTTTTTAGTATTTATGTTGTGATTTAAATAGAATTTAAATATCTAATAATGAATGTTGGTTTCCTGTATACATACTTTAATTGTCCTGTGTCCCTCTTTGAGATTAAAATATCCAGGAAGAGTAAAGAGTCATTATGTTCTTGTTCTATGATACATTTTATGAATTAGTCTTTTCTGGAAATTTATTTATCCAATGGTTCTAATCCATCAAACTATATCGACAACAAACACAGTATCTACATACTTCCACCATACTGTGGGTTTTAAATATATCTGCTAAAACAATGGAGATGCAGAAGAGAGCACATTTGTATGGGGTATGTACCTGAGTTCTAAGCTACCTTGTAGTATCATACATAATTTTTTGTACACAAAGTTATTTCCTTTCTTTAGAAATACTGGATAAAACCCAGCGATTTGTATAGCTCAAATGAGTTTATTGTCCATTATATTTTGTCCTTGTTCACCACTTCTTTTGCCTAACTCCAGTTTTCCCTAGAACCATAAGTAATGCTCAAAGTCATAAGTCAAATCCAGTCTGCTGCATTGTCTGGTACTAGTATTATCAGTTTTGGTTTAGACTAGTCCCTTCAATTGTGTCTCTTCACTGTTCTAAATGTTACTGAGGGAACACTTATCTGAAGGTCTTTTGAGAAAACTTGATGGAGCCTTGATATTTCTAGTCTTTTCTATCTCCTCACAATGCTTTCTCTTACTCTTTTCATTTCCTTATTATATTCAGTCAGAGCTTCACAATAATTTCCTCATTCACCCGATCTTTTGGCACAATTAAATTTTTGTCTTTGACTTCTATCCTTTGATTTGCAATGTTGTCATTGCACCAAGGTACTTTTCTGTTGGAATTCCTCACCACTTCCTGACAGTTGTCTTCGCACATTGATGTGACAACCTCTTGAAATTGTTCAGTGGCAATGTTTATGTCCAATGTATGCATTATTATTTCCTTTCCTCCCTGCTCAAGCAATATTCCAGATCTGCTTGATATGCTTTCTAGTTTGTTTTATGAGGATTACAAGTTTGGTTGATAGGCTGATTACCTATTACTTAAAAACATATCTGTCAATGTTCTGAACAAAATACCTCATCTGACACATCCCATTTTTAAAGTGAAGCTTCTATACTGGTGTTGTATTAATTTTTTTTTCTCTATAGTAAAATTTTGAGAGTACTCTAAGCAGGTTTAAATTTAAAACTACAAAAAAAATTACTAACAAAATATAGACATTAAATGAGAAGTAAAAAATTAAAAGAATATGTCACTAAAAGATTTGATTTGTAGCGATTGTCAAAATTTAATATAAGTCATAAATATCATCCAATTAATACAAACATTGAATCATCTGTTTAAATTTTTATAATAATTCTTGTTTTAAAATAATTTCATATAAATACAATTATTATTTACCATCAAATGGCATTTATTTATATTTTATTATTATTATTTGGTCTAAATTTGGCAGGTTTATCATAAGTAAACTATATATGCTTTGTTAAGGGGGGAAGGGTTAATCACACTTTACAATTTTTTTTAAATTGTTTACTATAAATTTATTTTAAACATTAGGACATTATTGTACAACCTTTCGAGAATATTATCTAAAATTTTGGTTCAAAAATATTAAAAATTAAGAAAATGCAGCAAATTTTCAAGATAAAAAAAGTTATCTTCCTGTGTTCATCGTAATTTATCAACTGGATCATCTGTTGACAAAAAACCAAAAAGATTTCGTTAGTTTATGAGTTTTTCTAGGTCGCAACGTCTAATATTATTTATTTTATCGTTTTTTTTTGTTTAAATTCTTAAAGTAAAAAAGAAATTTTTTGAATTTTTTAAAAATTTTTCATTAAAATTCGACTAACTTGATGTCGTAAAATGAGATATAAAAACAAAATGGAGAATATCTCGATCTTGCGACATAGTAACTTTAAAAGAAGTGTGCAAAATTTGAAAAGGATTCATCAAGTATGTTTTAAGGTTTTACACTTACTACTTTTATGTACTTTTTGTTGCATCTGCAGCCGTTTTATCTGCTCTAATAATTCGATTGTTATCTGCTACGAGTCTTAATAATGCGAACTTAGCACTGTACTTATTCCAATTTCTATGTGAGTGCTCACTCACCTTACTCACTCCTCTCACACTGAACTCACTCACTTAACTCACTCACTCACTTAACTCACTCACTTCATTCACTCACATTCAATCACACTCACTCAACTCACTCTACTCACTCGCTTATAAATGCCTATAACTCCATTAATTTTGCTGCCTGTAACTCCATTAATTTTGCTCTACTCACTGAAATTTTAACTGGATGCTCTTGCAGAGTTATACTTATTTATATAGAACTAAAAAATTTAAAAAACACAAAATAACCCCCTCCCTTAGTTATGAGTTACGTTAAAAAGTTAAATCACTAGTTCTAATGTAAATTCAAAGTTATTTAGACAAAAAGCAAGGATTCTTTTTTTTGGGTATTCACTGGTGCTCGGAACTATAGAATGCCAGAGCATCAGATCTTACCCTTTTTTTCCCTAATTAAACTATTCTAAAAGCGTGCGTGTGGTGGGGTGTGCATTCCAAGGTGTATATGGCCATCACACACCCCATGTATATTGGACTTAATCTAACTAAACCTATAAGCGTACCCTCTCACCAGAGTCTAAACCTAAAGCGTACCCTCTCGCCAGAGTTTTTTTTTTTGGTTTGCTTTCTCTCTGACTGCACATTCGGTTGTAGGACTACTGCGCGACTATCTCACTCTTTATTGTTCATTTCGGTTTTCCCTATATCCTGCTATCTGCTGTTTTGGTCTTCTGTGTACCGTCCTGATGTTTTCGTTGTAGTTAGTCAGCTCGTTTAACATTCTGCTGGGGTAGTTAGCTTAAAACACAAAATAACCCCCTCCCTTAATACGTTCACAGGTAGCGTTAGGAGCAAACATAATAATTTATTGAATTTGTTTAAAATATAAAAAATAAATGAATAATAAAATTACTTTATTTAATTTTAAATATATTAAAATTTTAAAAATACAGAAAACATAGTATAAAGCTCCACGTTAGTTTACAGTACGCATCTAAACATTCCGTATATATATTTGCCACCTAGGACTTTTCTATTTTTCATATTACTTATAGGACATAGGAAATTCATATACGGAATGTTAAATATTCGTAGACCCAAAAAGATGACTTCCCATTCAAATCAGAAAGGAGAGTAATTTTAAAATATTTGTTAATGTATTATTAAAAAAAAGTAAATCGGTGCAATATAAAATAAAACTAAATATAAAATAAAATATATTTAAATAAATAATAAAAAAAAATTAAATTTTTAAAATGTAATATTTATACAAAATTCAATGCCTTCGCCATTTTTAATTGCATTTAGTAACTCCCCACTTCTTCGACTGATTGAAGTTGGATGCACTCTTATCGCTTGCCTTGTATTCAAATCGCCTTGCCGAGGAACTTCCTGCCATGTTTAAAAAACTTTCCCAAGCCGTTTTGGTTTAAATGTAGGATAATTTTTCGTGCAATTCTTGTTGTTCAGGTGTTTCATTTTTGTTTAAAAGAATTTATTCTTGTTATCAACAGGAAGATATAATTAAATTATCTAAAAATTAATACATACAAAGTTTCTTGTGAGCTAAATTATTCTGTGCTTTACGAAATCGAAATAGCAACAGGATTTTGCAGCTACAAAATTGGAAGATTGGGTGCATTTTGCAAGCATTAAGCTGAGACTGCACACTTTTTTAATATATATTGTATCTCCTTGCAATACTGAAAATTGATACGAAGTAGATAAATTAGCTTTTGGCGAAAAATTTCAACCTTATTTATTTTATAGAGGGCTTGCATGATCCAGTAAAAGTATTACAGAGCATTATATTAATAACAGCATTGATAACATTGATGAACATAATGTTAGAGAATATAATATTTAAAAAAAAAAAATGCAACCGCTAAACAACAAGAATTTTCGTTTGCCGACTTTATTAATATGCTACAAGATAAAAATGTTATATTTGAAACTGATTCATCAACGTTAAAATTATTGCACGAAAGATTATTCTATATTAAAACCA